ATCATGCAGCGCGACACATCTCCTTTGCATAGAGTTGATCAGGCTGTTGATTGTGGCCTGTGGGATGTTGTTCCACTCCTCTTCAATGGCTGTGCGAAGTTGTTGGATATCCGTGGGAACAGGAACACACTGTCGTACACGTCGATCCATAGCATCCCAAACATGCTCAATGGGTGTCATGTCTGGTGAGTATGCAGGCCATGGAAGAACTGGGACATTTTCAGCTTCCAGGAATTGTGTACAGATCCTTGCGACATGGGGCCGTGCATTATCAAGCTGAAACATGAAGTGATGGCGGCGGATGAATGGCACGACAATGGGCCTCAGGATCTCGTCACAGTATCTCTGTGCATTGAAATTGCCATCGATAAAATGAAATTGTGTTCGTTGTCCGTAGCTTATGCCTGCCCATAACATAACCCCACCGCTACCATGGGGCACTCCGTTCACAACGTTGACATCAGCAAACCGCTCACCCACACGACGCCATACACGTGGTCTGCGGTTGTGAGGCCGATTGGACGTACTGCCAAATTCTCTAAAACGACATAGGTTGAGAAATGAACATTCAATTCTCTGGCAACATCTTTGGTGGACATTCCTGCAGTCAGCATGCCAATTGCACGCTCCCTTAAAACTTGACAAAACGTCACATTTTAGAGTGGCCTTCTATTGTCCCCAGCACAAGGTGCACCTGTGTAATGATCATGCTATTTATTCAGCTTCTTGATATGCCACACCTGTCAGGTGGATGGATTATATTGGCAAAGGAGAAATGGTCACAAACAGGGATGTAAACAAATGTATGCAAAATCTTGAGAGAAATTCGCTTTTTGTGCGTATGGAACATTTCAGGGATCTTTTATTTCAGTTTATATTTTTGTTTAGTGTAGATTCAGCCGCAAATAGTTTGTAGACTGCAAATTGACCACAAGAAGCCCAAACAGATATAATATCTAAAACATAATCATTTCAAACCTTGCTTAACATTTTATAGGATCACGTGTCTCTCAATTATGCGTGGAAATACGAACAGATTTCCAAAACAAGTAGAACAAGTATTTGATACACTGCCGATTTTGCAGGTTTTCCTACTTACAAAGCATGTAGAGGTCTGTAATTTTTATCATAGGTACACAAAAATCCAGAAAATCACATTGTATGATCTTTAAGTAATTAATTTGCATTTTATTGCATGACATAAGTACTTGATACATCAGAAAAGCAGAACTTAATATTTGGTACAGAAACCTTTATTTGCAATTACAGAGATCATACGTTTCCTGTAGGTCTTGACCAGGTTTGCACACACTGCAGCAGGGATTTTGGCCCACTCCTCCATACAGACCTTCTCCAGATCCTTCAGGTTTCGGGGCTGTCGCTGGGCAATACGGACTTTCAGCTCCCTCCAACGATTTTCTATTGGGTTCAGGTCTGGAGACTGGCTAGGCCACTCCAGGACCTTGAGATGCTTCTTATGGAGCCACTCCTTAGTTGCCCTGGCTGTGTGTTTCGGGTCGTTGTCATGCTGGAAGACCCAGCCACAACCCATCTTCAATGCTCTTACTGAGGGAAGGAGGTTGTTGGCCAAGATCTCGCGATACATGGCCCCTTCCATCCTCCCCTCAATACGGTGCAGTCGTCCTGTCCCCTTTGCAGAAAAGCATCCCCAAAGAATGATTTTTCCACCTCCATGCTTCACGGTTGGGATGGTGTTCTTGGGGTTGTACTCATCCTTCTTCTTCCTCCAAACACGGCGAGTGGAGTTTAGACCAAAAAGCTCTATTTTTGTCTCATCAGACCCCATGACCTTGTCCCATTCCTCCTCTGGATCATCCAGATGGTCATTGGCAAACTTCAGACGGGCCTGGACATGCGCTGGCTTGAGCAGGGGGACCTTGCGTGCGCTGCAGTATTTTAATCCATGACGGCGTAGTGTGTTACTAATGGTTTTCTTTGAGACTGTGGTCCCAGCTCTCTTCAGGTCATTGACCAGGTCCTGCCGTGTAGTTCTGGGCTGATCCCTCACCTTCCTCATGATCATTGATGCCCCACGAGGTGAGATCTTGCATGGAGCCCCAGACCGAGGGTGATTGACCGTCATCTTGAACTTCTTCCATTTTCTAATAATTGCGCCAACAGTTGTTGCCTTCTCACCAAGCTGCTTGCCTATTGTCCTGTAGCCCATCCCAGCCTTGTGCAGGTCTACAATTTTAACCCTGATGTCCTTACACAGCGCTCTGGTCTTGGCCATTGTGGAGAGGTTGGAGTCTGTTTGATTGAGTGTGTGGACAGGTGTCTTTTATACAGGTAACGAGTTCAAACAGGTGCAGTTAATACAGGTAATGAGTGGAGAACAGGAGGGCTTCTTAAAGAAAAACTAACAGGTCTGTGAGAGCCGGAATTCTTACTGGTTGGTAGGTGATCAAATACTTATGTCATGCAATAAAATGCAAATTAATTACTTAAAAATCATACAATGTGATTTTCTGGATTTTTGTTTTAGATTCTGTCTCTCACAGTTGAAGTGTACCTATGATAAAAATTACAGACCTCTACATGCTTTGTAAGTAGAAAAACCTGCAAAATCGGCAGTGTATCAAATACTTGTTCTCCCCACTGTATATATATACACAGTACCAGTCAAAAGTTTGTACACACCTACTCATTCAAGGATTTTTCTTATTTTTTTTACTATTTTCTACATTGTAGAATAATAGTGAAGACATCAAAACTATGAAAAAACACATATGGAATCATGTAGTAACCAAAAAAGTGTTAATCAAATCAAAATATATTTTATATTTGAGATTCTTCAAAGTAGCCACCCTTTGCCTTGATGACAGCTTTACACACTCTTGGCATTCTCGCAACCAGCTTCATGAGGTAGTCACCTGGAATGCATTTAAATTAACAGGTGTGCCTTGTTAAAAGTTAATTTGTGGAATTTCTTTCCTTCTTAATGCATCTGAGCCAATCAGTTGTGTTGTGACAAGGTAGGGGTGGTATACAGAATATAGCCCTATTTGGTAAAAGACCAAGTCCATATTATGGCAAGAACAGCTCAAATAAGCAAAGAGAAACGACAGTCCATCATTTCTTTAAGACATGAAGGTCAGTCAATCCGGAAAATGTCAAGAACTTTCTTCAAGTGCGGTCGCAAAAACCATCAAGTAGGTGAACGGATGATCTCCGCATGTGTGGTTCTCACCGTGAAGCATGGAGGAGGATGTGTGATGGTGTGGGGGTGCTTTGCTGGTGACTGTCAGTGATTTATTTAGAATTCAAGGCACACTTAACCAGCATGGCTACCACAGCATTCTGCAGCGATACGCCATCCCATCTGGTTTGCGCCTAGTGGAACTATCATTTGTTTTTCAACAGGACAATGACCCAACACACTTCCAGGCTGTGTAAGGGCTATTTGACCAAGAAGGAGAGTGATGGAGTGCTGCATCAGATGACCTGGCCTCCACAATCCCCTGACCTCAACCCAATTGAGATGGTTTGGGATGAGTTGGACCGCAGAGTGAAGGAAAAGCAGCCGATATTGTCAAAACGATACGATATATCGTCAAAATAATATCCCGATATGTAACTGTTTCAATATTTTTTTCCCCCCCATCTCTTACTGTATTCTGTTCCCATGTTTAGCTCTACTCAATAGTTGTTCTACCATCTGGGGTGTATTCAGTGACGTAAAATGTTCTGAACATTGCAGATAGAAATAGAACAAGTTGAGCAGACACGATTAAATCGCTCCATACGATTCCATGTTCTATCTGACAGACAATCGTATCAGTTTTACACTACACATTTTTATCTGAACGTTCTGTAACGTTACATCCTCCTGAAGAAAACCCCTGTTGTTAGAACAAGACTTTACTGCTCACTGTAGAATGTGGCCTGGCTTGTGACTCAAACAATAGTGACTTGGTCCTTGGTCCTACCTCTGGAGGCCCCTCTCTCTCTAACCCCTTTAAGCCATAACTCCCTCATGGTTCAAGCTTTTTCTTCTCAGCCCAAAACAACACTGATCTAAGCTCCAGGCCTGATCATAGAGTCCTGATTAGAAATACTAAGTCAGAGAAAATCAAAGGTGATTTGTCCCGTCCCTTTCCCCTCACAAGTATCTTATTGGTCACAGTTTACCTTTCAGACATACTCTGATTCTGTTTTAATATCCACACATAGTATGAAGCAATTTATTGGCAGAGCAGTGGGGCAGTCAATCTCTGATTAGGCATGCATTCTAAGTAGTATGCTAGTATGGACATTGGAACGTAGCCTCCTGATTGCATACTGCATGTGATATGAGGCCTGTGACATAGCCTATAGCCTAGGTCGTAACTCAATTGATTTAGAACCATATCAAGAGTCTTGTATTACATTAAGACCAAACCAACACTTAACCCCAGAACTCTGTTGTTTAGTCTAAAGGGCCATTGTTGGGCTACTGTGGTTGTGAGATCAATAGCTTGATTATGTAACCCCACTGTCACCGTGGAAACTACAGTACCGCTGGTTGTCTGTTGTTGGTCACATGACAGTGTTGATTAGGAAGCACTAATTAGTATACCGCCATTGACCAGGCGGGCCTCATTTTTTACTGTCATGGCAAAATAGGGGTTTATTCTCTCTCTCACTCCCATTTGTTTGTAGATTCATGTGAATGTATACCCTTAAAAGTCCAGAATATAACAGAATACCTCACCTTATCCAGATCATGCCGTTAATGAAAAATCCATTGTTTCAGATACATTGAAAATCGAATGCTTACTGACAACTGAACTTTAGATATTAGATGGAATGATGTTTACTATGTAGGGTAGGGACTCAGCACACTATTTTACAACACGGTGGTAGATTGAACATGGTGGTTAAACATTGTGCACTTAATGCACTACTCATTGATGCATTGGTGCATGCTCATGCATTTAAAGGGAAGGTGTAGAATAAAGTAACCAACTAACCCTGTTTGTTTTGTTTGACCCCTGTAGGCTCGCATCTCCTTTGTGCGGGTGAAATACCTTTTCCTCACCTGGCTGACAGTGTTTGTCGGGGGCTGGGTGATCTATGTCCAGTACTCCAACTACACCGAGCTGTGCAGAGGACATGAGTGCAAAAACACCATAGTGAGTACGGACACATCTGTCATATCCATGGTCCACTTTTTTATTTATTACATATTTTTATGTATTTATTGAAAGACAGTCAGTAGGGGGTACAGTAAAGACAAGGCGTGTGTTGAACAGGCAGTGGGCCAGATTGGAATGACAACACTGTGGGGAGGCGGCAGCACTAGCTGCTAGTTACAACCCAGTTCTACTATGGTAGTGGTGGTAGTAGCACTGCTACAGAGCATCACCCATAGCATCTCACCCATCTTCACAAGTGGTCCGCCATCTATGGTTCTCACTTTGTAAAATCTGGAGAGATAGACTAACACCAACCCATCTCCACTTCTCCCCCAGTGTGACAAATACAGGAGAGGCATCATTGACGGCTCGGCCTGCAGCGGCCTTTGTGACAAAGACACCCTCTACCTGGGCAGGTGCCTCTCTACCAGCCCGAACAACCAGGTGAGGTAACAGACCATGCCCCTACCTCTGAGCTGCAGGGGTTACTGTACTGTACAAGTTGTCTTGGTCTGTACCAAGTACAGATCCAGGATCAGTAAAACCAACCTTAGATCGGTGCATCTAGGGACAACCTCCTAGGACCCGGACCTACAGCCCTAATGTTGACTCAAGGCACTTCAGCAACTTCCAGTATGTTGACAATGGTTTTATTGAAGGGCGTGGTGTCTTTAGTAGAAGTTCACTACAGTATTTCCATGCACAGTCAGTCCAGAATAATAATCCAGTACATTTTACGTCATTTAGCAGACGCTCTTATCCAGAGCGACTTACAGTTAGTGCATACACTATTTTTTTCCCATACTAGCCCCCCCGTGGGAATCGAACCCACAACCCTGGCGTTGCAAACGCCATGCTCTACCAACTGAGCTACATCCCTGCCGGCCATTCCCTCCCCTACCCTGGACGACGCTGGGCCAATTGTGCGCCGCCCCATGGGTCTCCCGGTCGCGGCCGGCTACGACAGAGCCTGGATTGGTTGTTCTTATCGACTGTAGGTGTATAATAATGTAATGCCACTATCTGGTTGTCCCCCTTGTTCGGGCCCTCAGGTGTACACAGGTGGCTGGGGTGACCTGGACGGGGTGATCCGCTGCCAGGTGGGGGAGGTGCTGCACTATGAGCTGGGAGAGGAGCCGAAGCCCAGGAGAGAGGCTGCGGTCTTCGACAAACCCACCCGCGGAACGTCTGTGGAGAAGTTCCGCGAGATGGTTTTCAATCACCTCAAGGTATTGGAACTATTGCTGCTTTGACTTCAGCAGATGCTGTCACAATAATCAGCATAAGTTTTAACAAGGATTTTTGTCTTCATCGAAGGCATTTGTTGCTTTGGTTATTTATTTCACCAACATTTTTACTGAAATCTCTGCATAGTTTATAGAGGATACTAGCTAAACTGCTCTTCTTCTCCTTCCTCTCCACTTCCTCCCCCATTTCCAGTCAAAGCTGGGCGAGCAGGCTAGTCTGGCCAGCCTGGTGACCCAAATCCTCAGCGTCGCTGACGGCAACAAGGACGGCCACGTCTCGCTCCCAGAGGCCCGTTCAGCCTGGGCTCTTCTCCAGGTGGATGAGGTGCTGCTGGGGCTGCTCCTCCAGGAACGGGGCCACACCCCCCGTCTGATGGGCTTCTGTGGAGACCTGTACATGACCGAGAGGGTACCCTATGGCCCCCTTTACGGTGTCAGCCTCCCCTGGCCCCTGGAGGCCTGGGTCCCCAGTGGGGCCCGACGCAGCATGGACCAGTGGTTCACCCCCTCGTGGCCCCGCAAGGCCAAGATCTCCATGGGTCTCCTGGAGCTGGTAGAGGACATCTTCCACGGCAACTATGGCAGCTTCCTCATGTGCGACCTGAGCACCGACCACTTCGGCTACACGGACCGCCACGACTTCCGCCTCACCGACCCGAGGGCCATCATCTCTGAGGACGCGTTCAGGCGAACCATGCGCGCGCTGCACTGCGAGAAGGACGACGACTGCGTGTTGGGGGCGGACTGCCGTACGTCATGCGATGTCGCTCAGAGACGATGCAGGGAGGAGGTGACCCAGCCCAACCTGGCTAAGGCCTGCGGGGCGCTGAGGGACTACCTCCTGAGGGGGGCACCGTCGGAGCTGAGGGAGGAGCTAGAGAGGCAGCTGTATGCCTGCATGGCCCTCAGGGGCTCAGCGGGACAGATGGACATGGAGCACTCCCTGATCCTGAACAACCTCAAAGCGCTGCTGTGGAAACAGATCTCGCATACTAAAGACTCATGATGCTCAAAGAATTAAGACTTATTGACAAGTCTGCTACTGACACAGTGGCTTAGGAAGAAGAGGAGCCTTTGGGGAGATGATTTCTAAAAACTCAACCGTTCATTCAAGATGTACTACATTGTTTTATTTACCACTTGTTTTATGCTGCATAGAAGTTGTTTTGGCGGTGTCGGAGGTGTAACTGCATTAGAGCTGTCAAATCCACAAGTGGCTCCTGGCATTATACCTATTTGAAAGGAAATGACTGGTATTCGAAATATGGTGGCACTCCCTTTCGTCCATACCTTCACCAATCCAATGCTTTTAGATTTATGGGAAAATGCTAGTTTCTATGTTTTTTAGTAAAAAAGATAAGAGGAAGATAAGTGTTTCCAATGACATCATCGGTGTGCATCGTGTGATTTTAACCAACTATAAGTAGACATTGCCTACTAAACCTTAGCTTCCTCTATCTTTTTTACTACGTAGCATAGAAACGTGCCATTTTCACATATTTTGATGTTGGGGTGGTGCTGGAGATCAATATGAAGTTGTTTTTTTACATATCCCTTTAAGAGAAACTAAAACACATTTTACAACTTCGAACACTGGAATGTGAGATGTAGTCTACACCTCGATTAGGCTGATAGAAATCCTCATTATTTCATTTAATGATTTTCAATTTGAGCGTCATTATTTCTATATAGCCTACACTTTCTCGTTCTGAACTTCTAATGCGAGTGGCTTCGTGACAATTATCAAAAGCAGCTGCTCACCGATTTGACAGCTCCAACAGTTACACCTCAGACCCCGCCAAAACATTAGCTATGCGGGTGTCGGCTATCACCGATTAAAGCTTGATCTGATTTAATCTAGGCATGAGTCGTTGGAAGAATAATGGACTACTACGATTCATATTCAGCATGCTGGAAAATAACTGTAGAGATATTTGCTGTTTATGAAAAGGCTCATGGAACATTTTGAAGTGATAGTAGTTGTATGAACTACACATTTGAAGAACACTTGCACGTTACATGAAGACAATGTGACCAAGAAATCTAACTGAAGAAACAGAGTATTATAGAAGTCTATGGCTTTGTCCCAATAATATTTCCTTCCTCCCAAAGTGTGCACTTGTTCCCTTCCCTGATTTGAAAGGAAACGACTGGTATTAGTACATACCTCAACCAATCCATTGCTTTTAGATTTATGGGAAGTAGTGGAACAAGTGTACACTTCAAGAGATAAGATATATTATTGGGATGCATCCACTTTGCTGGACATTTCACCACCCATTCTAGTACCATATACTGTACAAGATAAGAGATCATGCTGAAAATACCAGACTTGGAATTAGTTTCATTTTTTTATGGATGTTTGTCTACCACTTATGAAGGAGTGCTGTACATGAACTGCTTGTTGCATTTTTGACTTGCTGTTTCTACAGCTCAACCTTTTAAACATGTAGGTCACACTTTTAAAAAGGAAACCCAGTCCGATGTCGATTCTGAAGGTGTTAAACCGAAGGTCATAGCTGCATTTGAGGGATGAATTGCAATGTAGATGTATGTTTTCATGTTTACCTTGAAGTTTGAACCAGCATGATTTTGCACAATAAAAACCACATACCACTCACTGTGGTCTAATCTTAGTTTTTTTTGTTGTCAGTTGAGTTGAAAGTGGATTATCCTGACTGCCTACTGTGCAGTGAGTATGAGGAAATATACCCAGACTAAAAAGGTTAGTAAAGGATGTTAAAAATGGAATGCATTGGAGAACCTGCTAATCAAGTCCATCATTCAATCGCACCAGAATTTCCCTCAAATATAAAAACGTCAGTATACAAAAAGCCATTCTCGCAAACTGCCAGGGCAGTGTTACCACAGGGAGCAAAGTGATGGTGAAACACAGTAATGTCATTTGCAATACATTTATTAAGCCAATGTGCAGTGGTCCCTCTAACCGTCCGCCGCCTCTGCTTCCTGTGCTCGTAGAAAGCTGGCCTTTTTCTGGGCGACGCGGTCCTTCCTCTGTGCCAGCGAGAGTTTGGCGCGGTTCCACCTGCGACAGAGAAAACAATCCCCCATTAACCATCAGCACAGCAAACAAGATTAATGGCCGATCGCTCAATGTTTTGATGCTACCAGCAGATCTACAATATTCAGTCGCTTCTCTCAGCCCCGTCTTGAAAGGACAATGGACATCAGCTGTTGCAAATGAAGGACCAACTACATTTTGCTCAGCATACTTCGTATCATCATAAAGAAGCACTACCCCAATGCACAATTTCTAAATGTTCCCAAATGAAAAGCCAGCAACTGTGTACCAAACCCACCTCTTCTTTTTGACGTCTTTTTTGGGTTTCTTTTCGTGGACTGGGTTCTCTCTAATGGCGGCATGTGCTTTGTTGTACATCTCCTCTACCTGAAAGAACAACACATTGCTTATACGGAGGTAAGGTAACAAACAGGTCAGGACAAGAGTCACAGAAAACCACCAAACAGCCCTTCAGCACTATCTGGTCATTCATCTCGCTTCTCTCAGCCCCGTCTTGAAAGAACAAAAAAACATCAGCCGTCGCAAATGAAGGACCAACTACAATTTGCTCAGAGATCTTGGAATCATCATCAAGAAGCAGCGAATTTAACAACTTAAGTGTGTGAAAAAGGAGTTGCCAAACCAACTGATCCAGGATCAGGAGTGCAGGCTGTCTGACTCAGTGGGCTGTGTAAACGGCCTTACTGTGTCTGGCGTGACTCCGTTCTTTATGAAGCGGGAGAACTGTTTCTTGTAGGCGTCTTCGTCCTCCTCCATCAGGTAACTCATGTAGTCAGACACGTTCATGCCCATGATGTGTTTGCGATGCATCTCTGCGTTGAACTCTTTGCTTTCCATGTCATAGCCTGGGAAACGTTTTGTGCTGAGGAGAGAGAGAGGAGATGGTGATACCACACTGGATTACTTTGGTTGATTTGAATAGTCAATGTTTTTCATAATCACATTATTTGAAAACGACAAAGGAAATGTCTTAATACAGAATTGATAGTTAGTCTTGGGCATTCATTATACAAACATTTTCCGATGAAGGGCAAGAGAAGAGACATGGACACATTGTATCTCCCGACAGGATCCGCAGTGAGGAGTTCAGCCTTCACTGCAGGTTTATGAGAGAACTACAATAATTTACCCCTCTGTGTTGGTCATATAGGACACTTCAGGTCCTAGATGGGCAATAAAGGGGATACATATTCTGCTTGCACTTAACTAACCTGTGAGGAATTGAGAGGCCACCGTCGACAGCGCCCTTTAGTGCTCCGAACACTTTGTTTCCCGTCGACGTCCTGGCGAGCCCGGCGTCTAGAAAACACGTGAAGGCCCCCGGCTGGCCGTCTATACTCTCCACGTTGAACTCATCTCCCGTCACCTCCACCTGGCCCTCGTACACCTGGTCCAGGCTAAACTTGTTCAGCAGCTGAGGAGGAGCGAAAGAATGCATTTCTCTAATGAAAAATTGGTCTAAGATTTGGCAGCAATCTCTGTTGCCAATTTATATCCTCAAATGAATAGAAGCTTGATACACTGAAAATTAATTGCATTCACTGCGCTTTCACTGAGTCTACACGACTGTAAAAGCAGGTAAAGAATATCCCCATACCAGCATAACAGGCATTAGGGTGTGTGTGTGTAAGCATGCATTAGGGTGTGTGTGTGTGTGTGTAAGCATGCATTAGGGTGTGTGTGTGTGTGTAAGCATGCATTAGGGTGTGTGTGTGTGTAAGCATGCATTAGGGTGTGTGTGTGTGTGTGTGTAAGCATGCATTAGGGTGTGTGTGTGTGTGTAAGCATGCATTAGGGTGTGTGTGTGTGTGTAAGCATGCATTAGGGTGTGTGTGTGTGTGTAAGCATGCATTAGGGGTGTGGTGTGTGTGTGTAAGCAATGCATTAGGGTGTGTGTGTGTAAGCATGCATTAGGGGTGGGTGTGTGTTGTAGCATGCATTAGGGTGTGTGTGTAAGCATGCATTAGGGTGTGTGTGTGTGTGTAAGCATGCAGTAGGTGGTGTGTGTGTGTGTGTGTTAAGCAGGCATTAGGGTGGTGTGTGTTGTTGTGTAAGCATGCATTAGGGTGTGTGTGTGTGTGGTAAGCATGCATTAGGGTGTGTGTGTTGTAAGCATGCATTACGGGTGTGTGTGTTGTGTAAGCATGCATTAGGGTGTGTGTGTGTGAAGCATGCATTAGGGTGTGGGGTGTAGCATGCATTAGGGTTATTGTGTTGTAAGCATGCATTAGGGTGTGTGTCTGGCCCTTACCCTGCGGGCCAGCAGTAGGCCTGTGCAGTAGGCTGCAGCGTAGTTTGTCAGTCCCACGGTGATGCCGTACTTGGGCAGTTCATGGGAGTAGGCAGCACTGACAATCTGGTCTCCCTCAATCTTGGCGTAAGCGATCTGAAACAGAGATAACAGAGATAGAAGTGGTGAGGGTCTGGATGTGGTAAAAAAAAAGTTAGCAAGATTCTTAGTGCTGGGCTGTTACAAAAGCCTGCACACAGCAGCCCTCCATAGCACTCACCTGGCAGCAGATGTCTCTGTTGGAGAACCTCACGATCATCCTGTACTTGGGCGTGTTGTACTTGTTCTTGTCTTGTATGACCAGGCGCTTACGGGCAAAGTAGTCAGTCTTCCCCTCTGTCAAAGACAATCACACAACTGGTTAGTATGCCAGAATTCGCCAATAGGATATAGCCAATCACTTGACTGTTTATCTTCAGCACTTCTAGAAGTTAATTCACCTCGCTTCTCTCAGCCCCGTCTTGAAAGAACAAAAAACATCAGCCGTCGCAAATGAAGGACCAACTACAATTTGCTCAGAGATCTTGGAATCATCATCAAGAAGCAGTGAATTTAACACAAATTCACACAACTGGTTAGTATGCCAGCATTTGCCATGAAAATCAAATAGCCAATACATTGTTTATTCTCCAATCTATTGAGTCAGTGGTTGGCGAGAGTATGATATATGAAGGGTGAGTGAATGTGCATTACATATCAAGAAAAATGTACCTCGCCTTCTCCTGAATTTCACCTGGTATCTCTTGAAGTAGGCCTTACTTTTAACGACCTTTCACAAAGCCCTGTAGAGAGAGAGAGAGGTGAGACAGCTGCCATTGCAGATTTCTGGCGACAGGGTAAGGGGTGTCAGCAAACACGCAATACATATTTCTGCAGTGTTAGCTTCCCATGACACTTATCTAGAGCTGTTGATGTGGAAACTTTCTTACGATTGGTGGCAAAAACTTGCAGCACTGCAATTAGCTACCTAGCTTGTCTGTATCTAGCACTTCCAACAGGAACGTTATCAACTGACAGCTTCATACCTTAACCAGTTTACTTTTTCATGGTTATGAGCGATTAGTAGGATGACCAGTGTTTCCTCAGGGATTTTTTTTTGCTGCAGTGGGGGTAAAAGGGGGAGGGGGGTCTGGGTCCCAAAAAACATGCATAAAAACAGTGGATATAATGTAGGCCTACCGCCACCCGGGGTAACACGCCCCCTGCCTGTGCTCCACACAGAAACCACCTCACGTCACCATCCCCCCCCCTCCCCAACACTTTCCCTGGTTGCCACTACTCTTGTTCAACAAAATATGTAATCTGTCTCATCACAATTTAAGTCACTCCAAAATGACTCTGGTAGGGTGGCGTTTTACCCCCAAGTTAGTCTACAATTGACCCATGTTACATTTAACCCCACTCTCCCCTATGCAATTACTGCACATTGCAAAGCATAATGTGCTTAACATGATGTTGCTAAACATTTCCAGGTTTAAAATGGTACACCTCACGTGGATATTTAGGAGTTGAGAAATAAATACATTAAGAATGGAAAGCTGGGATCCCCATCTTAACAAATGTCATTAAAAATGCTGTTTTCCCAGCGACAGCGACGAATAGCTGTGCATTGACTGCTTGTACGAATGCATGTTTCCCTCCTCATGGGACTCATAATTTGAATGCGCCTCTAGAGGAATATTTCTCTCAGAACACAACACGCCCACTAGGTATCTAATATGGGGTAGTCTGACTTTCTATCCATTACTTGTTTTGTTTGCAGAGGAAAAATAAAATGTAGACTGTTCCATCATATTCAATGTGCACCTCGGCAGACTTTTTTTTTTTTATGTTCCATTTCTTTTTTGGGCGCAGTGCCACATAAATGACTGCAGCTTAAGACGACAGACGCAAAAACCGTCATACCAGTCGGGACAAGAAAGATTGTGAAGGCAAAAGCAAGTCAACACTACCGTATGCATTACTATGGGGATTTCAGTAAACAAACAGTACAAATCAACATCAGGTAGAAAACAAGACGGCAAAAGTTGAAATATTTTAACTCTGGCGGTAAGCCCCGTTTACCATGGCGGTTGATGGCATTTACCGTCGTGCTCTTATTGAAAACAATGACATCTGGTTTGCCGTCTACCTCGTACCATCTAAACACAGCATTTAGGCTGACATCTACAACAAACATGTTTTTATGCAATTGGAAATGTTGAGGTAGGCCTTTGAGCGCCATATCGCCACGCTGGAACCTAGCCTGCAGCTAACATACAGCTGACCGGCGAAAGTATGCGGCACAAATCCACCATCATCCATTTCCAAAGAAACTCATATCCGACATGACAATGTATATTACAAGTATACACGCAACATGTTTTGGATTGTCAACAAATGATGACAATATACTGACCATTTCTGCAGTTTTTCCAACTTCTCAGTTGAAAGGCTTTCCAAGTAGCTGCAGAGTTGCTCAAATATGCTGACGTTGCAGACAGGATACCGCTTTCTATGAATACAAATGGTAATGCACGCCACCTACTGGATTGGAGGAGAAACTGTATGAATATTAGATTATTCATCGTAGTCTCGGGAAATCCCAGACCAAATCAAATGTTATTTGCCACATGCGCCGAATACAACAGGTGTAGACATTACCGTGAAATGCTTACTTACAGCCCTTAACCAACAATGCATTTATTTCTTAATAAAAAGTAAAATAAAACAACAACAACAAAAAAGTGTTGAGAAAAAAAGAGCAGAAGTAAAATAAAATAACAGTAGGGAGGCTATATACAGGGGTGTACCGGTGCAGAGTCAATGTGCGGGGGCACCGGCTAGTTGAGGTAATATGTACATGTGGGTAGAGTTAAAGTGACTATGCATAAATAATTAACAGAGTAGCAGCAGCGTAAAAAGATTGGGTGGGAGTGCAAATAGTCTGGGTAGCCATGATTAACTGTTCAGGAGTCTTATGGCTTGGGGGTAGAAGCTGTTGAGAAGCCTTTTGGACCTGGACTTGGCGCTCCGGTACTGCGTGCCGTGCGGTAGCAGAGAGAACAGTCTATGACTAGGGTGGCTGAAGTCTTTGACAATTTTGAGGGCCTTCCTCTGACACCGCCTGGTATAGAGGTCCTGGATGGCAGGAAGCTTGGCCCCAGTGCTGGGCCGTACGCACTAACCTCTGTAGTGCCTTGCCGTCGGAGGCCAAGCAGTTGCCATACCAGGCGGTGATGCAACCAGTCAGGATGCTCTCGATGGTGCAGCTGTTAACTTTTTGAGGATCTGAGGACCCATGCCAAATGTTTTCAGTCTCCTGAGGGGGAATAGGCTTTGTTGTGCCCTCTTCACGAATGTCTTGGTGTGTTTGGATCATGATAGTTCGTTGGTGATGTGGACACCAAGGAACTTGAAGCTCTCAACCTGTTCCACTACAGCCCTGTTGATGAGAATGGGGGCATGCTCAGTCCTCTTTTTTATCCTGTAATCCACAATCATCTCCTTTGTCTTGGTCACGTTGAGGGAGAGGTTGTTATCCTGGAACCACATGGCCAGGTCTCTGACCTCCTCCCTATAGGCTGTCTCATCGTTGTCGGTGATCAGGCCTACCACTGTTGTGTCGTCTGCAAACGTAATGATGGTGTTGGAGTTGTGCCTGGCCATGCAGTCATGGGTGAACAGGGAGTACAGGAGGGGACTGAGCACGCACCCCTGAGGGGCCCCCGTGTTGAGGATCAGCGTGGCAGATGTGTTGTTACCTACCCTTACCACCTGGGGGCGGCCTGTCAGGAAGTCCAGGATCCAGTTGCAGAGGGAGGTGTTTAGTCCCAGGATCCTTAGCTTAGTGATGAGCTTTGAGGGCATTATGGTGTTGAACGCTGAGCTGTAGTCTATGTAGTCTATTTTGTGTTTTCTTTATGCTGAACTTAACTTTTTTTTAAACATAATGTCTCCAACAAAAGCTGAAGAACATACGCACATCCAGGTACTTTTTGCTGGAGTTGTAAAAACTATTGGTCGCTAAATCCTGAGAAATGACGGACCATGTAAAAAACTGTTGGTCACTAAATCCGTCTAGAAGGATCATGTAAAAATGGATGGCTGGTATGCCCTCACCCGTCTGAGCGGTTAGCTGTGAATGCCCTAACCCGCTATATACTTATAACTAATTGGTTTGGTTCTGTCCTCTATAGTGTTGTCCGGTTAGAACATGATGTCGAGGCCCATCACTGTACTTTTGATAGTCACCACCACACACACACGCAGACACAGCTGTTTCCATTTGAAGATCTTTATATGGTTTTGGTAATCTGAATGACTTGGAATCTTATTGTTGTGGTTCTATAATACAAAGATGTAAACAGTATTAGTTAAGGGTTATAACTATACAATATGCATACAGTACCAGTCAAAAGTTTGGACACACCTACTCATTCAAGGGTTTTTCTTTATTTTTACTATTTTTTACATTGTAGAATAATGATGAAGACATCAAAACTATGAAATAACACATATGACATCATGTAGTAACCAAAAAAGTGTTTTATATTTGAGATTCTTCAAATAGCCACCCTTTGCCTTGATGACAGCTTTGCACACTATTGCCATTCTCTCAACCAGCTTCATGAGGTAGTCACCTGGAATTCATTTCAATTAACAGGTGTGCCTTGTCAAAAGTTAATTTGTGGAATTTCTTTCCTTCTTAATGTGTTTGAGCCAATCAGTTGTGTTGTGACAATGTAGTGGTGGGGGGGTATACAGAAGATAGCCCTATTTGGTAAAAGACCAAGTGGCAAGAACAGCTCAAATAAGCAAAGAGAAACGACAGTCCATCATTACTTTAAGACATGAAGGTCAGTCAATCTGGAACATTTCAAGAACTTTTAAAGTTTCTTCAAGTGCAGTTGCAAAAACCATCAAGCGCTATGATGAAACTGGCTCTCATGAGGACCGCCACAGGAATGGAAGACCCAGAGTTACCTCTGCTGCAGAGGATAACTTCATTAGAGTTACCAGCCTCAGAAATTGCAGACCAAATAAATGCTTTACAGAGTTCAAGTAACAGACACATCTCAACATCAACTGTTCAGAGGGGACTGTGTGAATCAGGCCTTCATGGTCAAATTGCTGCAAAGAAACCACTACTAAAGGACACCAATAATAAGAAGAGACCTGCTTGGGCCAAGAAACATGAGCAATGGACATTAGACCAGTGGAAATTTGTCCTTTGGTCTGGAGTCCAAATTTGAGATTTTTGGTTCAAACCGCTGTGTCTTTGTGAGACGCGGTGTGGGTGAACAGATGATCTCCGCATGTGTAGTTCCCACCATAAAGCATGGAGGAGGAGGTGTTATGGTGTGGGGGTGCTTTGCTGGTGACACTGTCTGTGATTTATATAGAATTCAAGGCATACTTAACCAGCATGGCTACCACAGCATTCTGCAGCGATACACCATCCCATCTGGTTTGGGCTTAGTGGGACTATCATTTGTTTTTGAACTGGACAATGACCCAACACACCTCCAGACTGTGTAAAGGCTATTTTACCAAGAAGGAGAGTGATGGAGTGCTGCATCAGATGACCTGGCCTCCACAATCCCCCGATCTCAACCCAATTGAAGTGGTTTGGGACACTTTTCTGGTTACTACATGATTCCATATGTGTTATTTCATAGTTTTGATGTCTTCACTATTTTTCTACAATGTACATTTTTAAAAATAAATAAAAACCCTTGAATGAGTAGGTGTGTCCAAACTTTTGACTGGTACTGTATATGTACATGAATAAATGGCAAATGGCATTACACTTACAACATGTCTATAAAGGGCTATAAACACAGCATCAATATAAACTTAAACATTCACCTCTTGGAGAGAGAGAGAAACCAATTACTTGGATTGACAAAGGGTCAAGATTTATGGCACCCTCTCTCTCCAGCCTTGTGTGAGAATCTGCCAGGCTGAGACCTTATCAGATCTGCCCTGGTGCCACCGGGTCGTAAATTACAAGCTGGTAATGACCTATTATTACACAGCATGTAAAATCCCCAATAAACCCCCCTGCAACTTACATTTCGATGCACGCACAACATTCAGACATTTGTGTTACTGTCGACAATAAAAAGCCCTCAGAAACATGCGTCTTCTCCCTTCGGATGACGATAAAACTCTGACCTGAGTGGGTGGGTGCTGTGTCCAGATGTACATTTCCAAGCGTTCTGATTGGTTGGGGATGGCAGGGCTATGATGGGTGAGAGATAATTTAAGTAGGCTGAGCAGACAAACTAACGGGATTTAAGGGAAACTGAAGGGACTGTGAGGGGAAGTTAAGTAGAGTGGAGAGGAGAGGAGCAGCCTTTTTTACAGGAGTTGTAGGTGAATTCATGAAAAATAAAAATAAAAACGCTGCACACGTTATAATAAAATCCCCTGGGATTTTCCTTTGTATTTTACATCATGTCCCCACCATCATTTCCTATGACCGAAAACAGCTTCTGGCCAATGAGAGGGCAGATACACAAGTAAATAATCCGCATCTAACCACCGTTCTATTGCGGAACATATAGTCACTAGAGAACAAACTGGACGAGCTCTGTTCGAGACTATCCTATCAACGGGACCTGAAAAACGGTAATATTCTATGTTTCTTGGAGTTCAACGAGCTGTATAAGCAAACAAGAAAATGCACATCCAGAGAAGGCGCTTCTTGTGGCCGGTGATTTTAATGCAGGGAAACTGAAACCCATTTTACCTAATTTTTACCAGCATGTCACCTGTGCAACTAGAGGCGACAAAACTCTAGATCACCTTTACTCCACACACAGAAATGCATACAAGGCTCTCCCTCGCCGTCCCTTTGGCAAATCTGACCATAACTGTAGCCTCCTGATTCCTGTTTACAAGCAAAAACGGAATATGGAAGTGGTCCGATGAAGCGGATGCTAAGCTACATGACTGTTTCGCTAGCACAGACTGGAATATGTTCTGGGATTATTCCGATGGCATTGATGATTTTATCATATCAGTCACCGGCTTCATTAATAAGTGCATCGATGAAGTCATCCCCACAGTGACCATAAGTACATATCTCAACCAGAAGCCATGGATTACAGGCAACATCCGCACTGAGCTAAAGAGCTGCCACCTTCAAGGAGCGGGACACTAATCCAGACGCTTATAAGAAATCTTGCTTCGACCTACAATGAGTCATCAAACAGGCAAAGCGTCAATACAGGACTAAGACCGAATCCTACTACATCGGCTCTGACACTCGTCGTATGTGCCAGGGCTTGCAAACTATCACAGAATACAAAGGGAAACCCAGCCACGAGCTGCCCAGTGACTCGAGCCTACCAGACAAGCTAAATGCATTCTATGCTCGCTTTGAGGCAAGCAACACTGAACCATGCATGAGAG